TTTATAATCCTTTATTATAATATTTAAATCCTTTTTTTAAGATATTATTTAATATACCTCTTAATAAGTATAATAAGATAAAGGCTTTAACTACTAAGAATAGTATTTAGAACCTAAGCCCTAGATATAAGGACTTAGAGACCTTAACTAAAAAGAAAACTCTTATAAAATTTACTTTTAACTATAAAAAGCTTTTAAGGTTAGTTTTATATCTTTTAGAGTAGTTAAATAATCTAAAAGTTAAAAAAGTTAAAATAAAGCTATTTATATAAATTAATAGTAATTTATTTATTTATAAATATCTTATAGGCTTCCTCTAAATAGCTATAGATCTAAAGCTTAAAGTAGTTAAAAATCTATAAGTTAGGCCTATTTAGATTAATATTATAAATATAGCTAATAGTAAGTAATAGAACTATAATAGCTTTATTAAATAATAATAGTAATAGTAATAAGTAAAGAGTTTTCTATAAATAAACTTAAAAAGCTTAATATTAATAGTATAATAATATAATAATATAATAAAGTATTAGCTTAATAGCTTTAGGGCTAATTATTTAGTAAATAGCTAGGAGGAGTAGCTTAAAGAAAGAGTATTAAAGTATTAGATATATAGTAAAAAATTTATTATTATTATTATTATTATAATAGGGGAAGTTAAGGTATAAAGTAATAAACTAATAGTTACAGTAGAAGCTTAAGCTTATATATAGGGTCTATAAGTTATATAGCTAAATAGCTATTAGTTAGTTAGTAGGCTAGGCTAAACCTATAGTAAGTTAAATATATAGTTTAAATTATAATATAGTACCTAAAGGTATATATAGTAATTTAAAAAGTATAATTTCTATAGTAAAGAATAAATAAAGAATTAAGTTTAAAAATATAACTTAATATAATATTAATATTATAAAATAGAAATATTACCTAGCTTTAAGGGAGCTTTATATAGTAGTTTATTAATATAAGTTTTTTAGTTCTTTAATATAATTTTAGTACTTCAGCTTATACTATCTCTTAATATAATAAATAGATATAAATAATAATTAAATTAGTATTAATTAATAAGATTTAGCCTAGCTAAGGTCTTTAAGTATATATAAGTTTATAGAAGCTATAAGAAAAAGAGGGGGTAATAAGCCTTATTATTAATAGGTAGTAATAATAGCTTAAATCTATTATAATAGTACTAAATATTCTAATTATAAGTCTCTCTTTATAATACCCTTATAGTCCTTTAGCTAAAAGAGTAGCTAATAGGGTATCTCTATTATATTATTAAATAGAGATAAAAAGCTAACTATTTTAAGCTAAAACCTTGTTCTTTATTTTCTTTATTTATTATTATATTTAAATTCTTTCTTTAAAATAAGTATTGTTTAACTTAATATATTATATAATAAGCTTAATAATAATAATATTATAAACTTAATATATATTTATAATAACTATCTAAAGTATTAATAGCTATAAATATAATAATTTAAACTTTAATATAAAAGTTATTATAGTTTATTTTATTTATAGGTAGGGAGTATTACCTAGCTCTAAGGGAGCTTTATAGCAGTTTACTAATATAAGTTTCTTAGTTCTTTAATACAATTCTAGCACTTTAGCCTATACTATCTATTTATTTTATTTATAAAACTATATTATTAGCTTTAAACCTTAATAAAGAGAATATTATTATATTTACTCTTAATAAGCTTAAAGATAAAGATATTAATATTATTAAAGTATTTATTTTAAATATTAATAATAATTTATTAACTTATAAGTATTTTATAAGTTTCCTTTAGGCTTTTAGCTACTATATTATATTTAGAAACTATATATTTAACTAACTCTAAGTTTAGCCTAACTAACTTAACTAATTAATAGCTATCTAGTTATATAACTATATATAAGCCTAAAGTTTCTATTTTAATTATTATTTTATTACTTTATACCTTAACTTCCCTTATTATAATAATAATAATAGACCTTTTTATTATATCTCTAATACTTTAGAAGATATCTCTAAAACTTTTACTATTTACTAACTAATTAACCCTTTTAACTATATAGCTATTAAGCTATTATATTATTATTAATTAAACTTTTTAAAAGACTATTAGCTTACCCTTAGTACTTAAGACTATTATAGTTCTATTACTTACTATTAGTAATATTATTAATATATTAAAGTAATTTAGATTTATAAAACTTATAGATTCTTAACTTTAAGCTATTTAGCTAACTTTAAAAAGCCTATAAAGAGCTTATAAATAGTAAAATTAATATTTATTATTATATCTTTTTTTTTAGATTATTATTATTATTATTATTATTATTATCTTTAATATAGCTATAGAGATCTTAAGTATATATAATTTAGCTCTTTATAATAAAGTTAAGATTAATAGCTTACTTTAAATATATTAAAGTAAAATAAATAATAATAAGCTAATTAATATAGTTTAGCTCTTTAAATTTAAAGCCTTTAATCTTATAGATATTTATTTTAAGCTTTATATTATTAAGCTTATATTACTATAGCTTTTAAATATTATATTAAAGTATTATAAAGATATTAAAAGATAGAAAAGATATATTAAAAAAAGAATTTAAATATATTAAAAAAAAGAAGATAAGGAGTAAACTTTTAGCTTAAAATAATAGCTAGCTTTTTATATCTACTTAATAATATAATAGAGATACTTTATTAGCTACCCTTTTAGCTAAAAGACTATAAGGGTATTATAAAGAGAGACTTATAACTAAAAGGTTTAATACTATTATAATAAATTTAAGCTATTATTCCTATCTATTAAATACCTCTATAAGGTTTTTATTTAATATTAATAATAAGGCTTATTATTCCCCCTTTTTTTATAGCTCTTATAAATTTATATATACCTAAAGACTTTAGTTAGACTAAACTTATTAATTAATATTAATTTAATTATTATTTATATTTATTTATTATATTAAGAGATAGTATAGGCTAAAATATTAAAATTATATTAAAGAACTAAAAAACTTATATTAATAAACTACTATAAAGCTCCCTTAGAGCTAAGTAATACTCCTTATCTATAAGTTTCCTTTAAATAGCTAAAGATTTTAAGCTTAAAGTTAAGAATCTATAAGTTCTATAGATTTAAATTATTTATATTAATAGTATTACTAATAGTAAGTAATAAAACTATTATAATAGTCTTAAAGATTAAGGGTAAGCTAAAAGTCTTTTAAAAAGTTTAATAATAATATATTAGCTTAATAGCTATATAGTTAAAAGGGTTAATTAGTTAGTAAATAATAGAAAGAAGTAGTACTAAAGAAGAGTTTTAAAGTATTAAAGATATAGTAAAAAAGTTTTTATTATTATAATAGGAGAAGTTAAAGTATAAAGTAATAAAATAATAGTTAAAATAGGAACTTTAGGCTTATATATAGTTATATAACTAAATAGCTATTAATTAATTAAATTAGTTAAGCTAAACCTAAAGTTAGTTAAATATATAGTTTCTAAATATAATATAGTAGCTAAAGGCTAATATTAATATTATATAAAATTAAAAAGTATAATTAAAAATTCTTTAATTTAGAAATTATAATATATTTATATTAAACTTAAGAATAAAACCTTTAGAGAGGAGACTTAATATTATAACCTATAAGGTATAACTAATAGAGACTACTTTATAGAGAATTAAATAGTTAAGATATAACCTTTATATATAAAATTATAAAACTAAATAGAAACTTTTAAAATAAAAGAACTATAAAATAAATTATATAATAATAAAATATTTTTTTTAATAAAATATAAAAGTAATTAGTAATTAATAGATATATTAACTAAATATATCTATTTATATATAAAGGTAATTATTTAATAGGTAATTAATAAACTACTTCTTAATAAAATAAAAAAGCTACTTATAATTTAAAATATATATATAGAATAAACTTAACTTTACTAAGTTTAAACTTCTATAGCTCTTTAGTAATTATCTTTATAATTATCTTTATAAATACTTTTAGCTACTTTAAGTAATAACTACTCTATAACCTTATTAAGAACTTAACTAATTATTAAGCTCTTTAAGATCTATAATTTACTTAACTATAAACTTATAACTATTATTAGTTTATTATTACTTAACGTATTATAATATAAACCCTATTATTAGTTAGATAGCTATAATACTTATACTATCTCTTAATAAAATAAATAGATATAATTTATAATTAAATTAGTATTAATATATTTAGCTTAAGTAAGGTATTTAGGTATATATATTATTTATAAAAGCTATAGGAAAGTAGAGAGAAGAGGGTAGTAAGCCTTATTACTAATAGGTAATATTTAGTTTTTATATTAATTTATATAGTAAAAGCTTAATTTAGTTTCTAATTAAGTATATAAATATTTTAATTATATATCTATAAGTTAAAGTTAAGTTTAAAAGAAATATAGTTTTTTTAAAAGTAATTTAATTTTTAAAAGTAATTTAATTTTTAAAGGTAATTTAATTTTTAAAAGTAATTTAATTTTTAAAAGTAATTTAATTTTTAAAAGCAATTTAATTTTTAAAAGTAATTTAATTTTTAAAAGCAATTTAATTTTTAAAAGTAATTTAATTTTTAAAAGCAATTTAATTTTTAAAAGTAATTTAATTACTATTTAAAAATTAAATTACTTTTAAGCCTATTAGGCACTTACTGCTCAATTCAATGTATCTTAGTGTCGGACATTTCGGCTACTACGCCCGGCGGATGTATGTGGGGAGGACTCTGACATGCAATTCTCTGTGATTGCTGGAGAAACTTGAGCCGAGCTGTCGAGCGCCGGCTCACATCTCGCGAGCGCTTTCATCACGAGCTTCTAAACCTTCATATGGGCATGATGAAGCCGTTTTGGGTACCGGGTGCTTTGCAACTCTATAGATTGTTACAGTATTCACGTCATTCAGTTTCATCCCGCTGACTTGCTACTTCTGTCGTGCATCATAATGGCGTCTATCGAGCATGGAACCGTCTTCCTCAACCCCGTGATCTCGGGCTTCAGTCCTGATCCGACCATCTGCGTCGTGCCTGCGACTGAGTCCAATCCGACGACATTCTTCTTATCAACCTCGACATTCGAATACTTCCCCGGTTGCGCGATTTACACGTCCACAGATCTTGTTAATTGGAAGCTGATTGGTCACGCTCTCACCCGGCGGAGTCAAATCGAGCTGCGCACTGTTGAGCCTGGCGCCGGGAGCTGGGCAAGTACGCTGCGTTACCGGCCCATCGAGAAGCGTTGGTACCTCGCGAATGGCATATTCCAGCGTTACCGGCCCCCGAGCGATGTGAGGCTATTGCCCTCGTAATACCTGTCTCTCGGCTTTTGCTCATGCGATAGTCCCAGGAACGTATCTTCCCTCGCGGTTTCTATGTGTGGACAGACAACATCTGGGATGATAATGCCTGGTCAGATCCGGTCTACTTTGACAACCCTGGCTTTGACCAAGACGTAAGTGCAAATGTGAGGCGTTACACCTCATCGCTGAATTCAAGACTAGTTGTTTTGGGACGACGACGGCAAGGTCTATCTATCTACAACTGTGCGGATGGGGAAGCGGACACCCGGGCTGAAATTGAAGGACTTCGCGATCCACATCTCAGAGATCGATATCGAGACAGGGAGTACTTTGACACCTCCTCAGGTCATCCGAGAATCGCCTCATGGGATTGCCGAGGGTTCTCACATCATTCGGAAGGGCAAATACTACTACCTGTTCACTGCCGAAGGTGGCACAGAAGCAGGCCACCAGGAATGGGTTCTCAGGAATGAAATCGGTCCTTACGGCCCATGGGAGACTCAAGGAAAGGCATTATGGTACAACGGTCCCGATGAAGAGGTGCAGCGAACTGGCCACTGCGACGTCTTTGAGGATGGCCGTGGCATGTGGTGGGCCGTGATGTTGGGCGTTCGTCCGGTCAAGTCTGAGGGCAAATACATCGAACCTCCAATGGGGCGCGAGACCTTTCTAGTCCGAGTCGACTGGGTTGATGACTGGCCCGTCTTCAATCAGGGCCACAATATCACTCTTGAAACGGTCGGAAGGGAACCGGTGCAAAAAGCATCCATCGCGGACGCAGACGGGGTCAAATGGAATGCGGATCTGTCACAGCGCTCCCTCGATATCGGTTGGTATCACAAGAGTAGGCAATGCCCCCCAGGAGTCATAGTGTCTCGCAGCTAACGACAACAGACACCCCAATCAAGCCCTGCCATAGCCTCACCGAGCGTCCGGGATATTTAAGGCTGTATGGAAACTGCTTCGATCTCAGCAGCCCAGAATCTCCGGCGATGTTGCTCAGAAAGCAGTCATCATATCATGAAAGCTTCAGGGCCAAGATGCTGTTCAGACCTGGCAGAGCAGGTTATGAGTCCGGAGTTACCGTGTGGTGGAGCCAATATTCCTATGCTACGATAGGAATTACTGCGGTGCAGCGAGACGATGGTTCGGTCGTTCCAACTGTCGTATTGAGAGAACCCACGGGCAAGATCAATGACTTAAAGGTACGTGTTTCCCGCACCGCTCCTCCAGACCCTCAAGACATTGCTAATAACGCCAGGTCTCGCATCCACTTTTGGGATCACAATCGTCGCATGGGGCAGCTCTACACTTGGATCAACCCGTGCAGGTAACCGTCATCGCACATCCTACCAAATACGAGATGAGTCTCACCAACGGGGATGTTCAAGTCGGGACGGCATTCGCGTCAGATGCCTTGACTGTCTTTCCTCCCGTTGGGGGTGCTTTCTGCGGAGTTATGTTTGGCATTTACTCATTTGGTCGAGGCGAACCGGTGCTTGACCCCTCCGACTTCACAGATTTGGCAATTGTGCAGACGAGGAAGTAATTGCCAGGGATGTGAAGTAGTCTGAATTTGAATTCGAACCTAGCCCCCATACGCGGAAGCGCATACAACTGATTTGAGTATCTAGCCACTAAATGTGACACAATGGTTGGCAATTGTCTCATGGTCGACGAACCTGCAGTCACAGCTGAGATAAGAAGTCCAAGCTCGCACTTCCGCATCACAAGCGTCAGCTCTGACTAGAACTATGACTACGTAGCTGCCGGGAGATCCCCCTTTAGAGTCCGACGGACACCAACTTCGAACTCTAACGCTGCAGATCTTATTACCATCTTTGGTGCCTGAAGAGTGAAATAGCCCTGACATCAGCTGGAGCAGCGAGTCAAAACTGAGCTGTTGTTCCTCGGACGAAAGTTCGGACAGTGGCCCAGTCAGTAAAGCATATGCGTGCGGACTTCACAAGCATGGCATAGCAGAGGCCAGGCCTCTCTATATACCTGACAGCCCGGCACCCCTCAACGACTTGCTCTACCGGGCTGGTGTCTTTCTCACCTGCCCCTTACCGACTCACCACGTCATGGCGTCTTTTATCAAGTCGGAGCACTTCGAGACCTACTCGGGCGTGTCTCCCACCCTACTCCGGGACGAATTCCGAGGCAAGACCGTCTTGCTGACCGGAGGTGGCTCGGGAATCGGAACAACCATGACTCGTTCCTTTGCCGAGGCCAACGTTGCCAAAATCATCCTCACGGGTCGGACAGAATCCACCTTAGTGGAAACTTCCACAGGCCTTCGCACCGATTTTCCAGAGTTGGAGGTCTCATACTATGTCGCAAGCGTATCTTCCCCAGACCAAGTTGCCGCCATCTTCGCCGCCATCGAGATCTCCCCCGACGTTCTAGTCAATAATGCTGGCTACTTGCCAGAGCCGGGTGGCTTCGTCGAGGCTGATCTGGAAGACTGGTGGCAGGCATTCGAGACCAACGTTTTTGGAACAGCGATCATGACGCAAATGTACCTCCGACATCGAAGGGCGCGCCGCGTGGAAGCTCCCGGTGTGATCATCAATGTCAACACCAGGGCGGCCTACGAGACGCATATGACTGGGCTAAGCGGTTATGGAGCGAGCAAGGCAGCGGTGTTGAGACTGGCAGAAATCATCACTGATGATGTACCAGCATTGGAAGCGCGGATAATCTCGCTCCATCCAGGCGCAGTGAGATCAGCCATGCTCACAAAGTCGAGACTGCAGCGGCCGCTTACGGACGTGAAGCTCACAGCAGATTTCGTAGTATGGGCAGCCTCGGAGAAGGCAGCCTTCCTCAATGGGCGATTTGTGTGGGTGAATTGGAATGTCGATGAATTGGCATCATGGAAAGACATGATTATCGAGAGAGATCTGTTGAGAACTAGTATGAAAGAGTCATAGACGACATGCGCACTGAATAGCTACTTCTACCGGCGCAGCGGAAAGGAAGTGTTATTTATCTTACTTTTACCTTACGTGCACTGTTGTCTTCGAAGTTCAGACCTGAGATCCGGGAGGACCTCAGTTCGCCCCACTGGGGCATCTTAAGGGTCTCGTAGACTATGTGCATTGCCGACATCCTACAGAGCAAGATCAAGCCACAAGACAATGGGTACGAGGAGCGTCCAAGGGGTGACCTGGTTGCCTGGGATACTCAATAGGAGAAAGACTGACAAAAGCGAGGTATGCAGATCAGCAGTAACTTTGCGACAATGTGCCTGCAGAGCTACAAGTGATAGCAAGGGTGAACAAAGAAAGGTAGTTGGCAAACAAACGCAGGAAATCTCATGTGTAGCTGGATATTGTTGTCCGAAGTTGCAGAGCACCGACGGTCTCACAGGTCATCGAGCAAGCTCGAAGCGATGGGGGTCACAGGTCATCGAGCAAGCTCGAAGCGATGGGGGTCACAGGTCATCGAGCAAGCTCGAAGCGATGGGGGACAGATCGAAAACTACATCTCGTAGTTCAGCCACAGAACCAATCGACAGCCACGGCATCTCTGTCAATCCAACGAAACAGGGTAAGGATTGACGCGGGCCAACAAGAGGTACGAACGCATGCGTGGAACATGCGGCTCGCGAGAGGCTTCTCATCCCTAATGTTTATCCACAGAATTGAGCAGCATTCCAGTCTCCCTGCCTTCAAACAGTGTGGGGTAGGGGGAGAGCAAGCACGACGCTATTGTAGGTTGAAAGACGCGAGAACGCGTCTCCCGCCGACGCCGCAAGATGGCTAGCAGTTGTTCTCGGATGTTGAACTCGTGGTAGAGGGCTGCTCAAGGATGTGCAGTGACTTCTTGTAACACATCAAGGCGGTCTCGATATGTTGTCGGCAGTTATGGTGGTGAATGTCACGGAAGCTGCAGGAGTTGCGCTTAGGAATAGATATTGGATGTTGCGTCGCATTGGTGGGCTCGGCTCGAGATCGAGATTCGGATGTCGTTCACAGTGGGACGCGGTCTTTCCCAGCCAGGTCTCGGTCGATGAGGACATAGCACTCGGCGCACTTCGTAACAGACAACTAAATCATTTGAGACGTGGTTAGCAGCTGTACCAAACAGAGCAACGACCTCGAAGACGCGAGGGGGGAAGTTGAACACGCTGGGTACCGCCCAGAGACGCGCTCTGTGACCAGGCCGAGGACAAGACGATTGGTACCAGTCAGGCGAAGTTACAGCGTCGTCCGCGATGTGGAAGCCAATGATTCGAGCGCTGGCCTAGTAGGCGTGAACGTGGAAGGGCGACAGCGAGAAGCTCCGCGTCTGGCGGTAAGGTACCGCGTCTGGCGGTAAGGTAATTAACCTGGAAAACTGACGAAGCGGGGAAGCTGTGATTACTAATCTTCCCGGTAAGCCCCGGTAAGCCCCGGTAAGTTTCGGTAAGTCTCGGTAAGTCTCGGTAAGCCTCGGTGAGAAACGCCACCCTCCGTTCTCGTGGTTGAACAGCTTGCTCACATCCTACTTATTTCTCTTTCTCTCCAAGAGGGAGAAAAGAGCGAGTAGCTACGTATAGCACTTGTTTCCAAAGGCAGAGCTCGCAATGATAGCCCAGGGAGTCTTCCGTGTCCCGAATCCAAGATCACAGTGCCTACTGCCTCTGTCAAGCGACTCGGGATATTGAGGGCGTAAAGAGAGCACGAGAACAGAGGAATGAAGGCATCGGACTGCAGGTGTATTAGCCACTTCGAGTCAGGTTCAGCCTCAAGAAATTGCGACTGCGTAGTTGGTAAGCTTGACAAACACAAGCTTGACAAACGGGAGGAATGATCGTATGTTCTTTGTATTCCATCCAGCCCATTGCCCTTTAATTTCATGTCTGGATATCGGAGACTCCTAACGAGCCATGCTTGAGGCGTTCGGAGACTCCCATACTGCTTTAGCTGCTGGGAAGACAAACCACGTACATTACGTACCCTGTCTCATGTGTTCCACCCGCCGTCCAGCCCGATTACGAGGTAAGCAACCCCCGTTTGCCGATTCTATGAAGATGCTACGGTGTAAACCTCTCCTGTTGAATTAATCATGTCGCGGTTTAGCTCGAACCAACCCGCCAACCCACCAACCCGAGGCCATGAAGCTGGTCTACTGCCCGGCCCTGATCCAGCACTGAGCGCCATCCTGCTCCTCGCACTCCGTAAACGAGTTGACTTAATCCTCAAACTGCGTGTCAGTCTTTTCCCGCCAACCCAAAGCCGGGAAAGAAAACTCAAGCTTGACTGGAGCTTCCTTATCTGACTCAACTTTCACAGAGCCGAAGCTGGGACTCGACACAGCTCCGAGTCTGTTCTCAATCGGAATCTGCCCGAAGGTTCTTGCTCCCAACTGTGAGACGGATCCAAATACGCTCTGGGGGCGGTCTTTGGGGGGACCTTTGAGGCGCAAGTCGAGTTGCTCTTTCATTCGCTCAGCCAGGAAGATCCGCAGGTCGCAGTCAGCGTTTGTCACAACTTCTTTTGCCGATTTTTCCAGGTCGATCCAACCCGCACCTCTGAGGTCGGCGAGGAATGCGTTGAGTGCAAGCTCGCGAACACATTGGGCATCAAACTTGGCAATCTTGTCCAGCATTGATGTTGTCTTTCGCATATCAATGATCTTGCTTTCGCCGATACGATCGAGGCTCTTCTGCACAGGCAAACGCGTCTGAAGGATGGGGCTGCTGTTCGATGCCGAGTCTCGGTTCCTGTCGCTTGAGCTTGTGCTTGTATACTTCCCAAAGTCTGCAGATGTGTCATTGCTTGGAGATTGTGCCCATAGGCTGAGGCGTTTCTTCTTTTCATCGGCCGTAATGCCAGCATTTCTCGGCGGTTTCGGCGGTGTTGGCGACGGGAATTCGCAAGCGGACTTGGACTGGGTGACGAGAAACGATTGTGGATCGATGGGATTCTCGTTTTCTCGAGACCGCAAGATCATTCCTGGAGGGATCGGCACAGGGCTGATATCCAGCAGCTTGTCCTCAGCGTAGCAGTCCGTGCCCTTGGAGCAGTTGTCGAGATACAGAAGCTCTGCTAGGCACTGTCGCATATCGCGACTTTGGTACCAAGCTCTCGGGGGCTGAAGCTGGTATCTCAGCAATGCCGTGTGCATAGTGAATGCGTTGAACGACCTCTTGCCATCGCACATATCGCGAGCTTGGACCACGATCCTGTTACTGCTGATAGGTCTTTTCGACTCCATTCCAAATATGATTTGCTCTGCAAGCAGACTCAAAGCCTGCAGCTTCTCTTCCTCGTCCATCACAAGATCCAATGTGTCAGCGTTGAAGAGGCGGACTGCGAAAACCATCCACTCTCTCTGTTGATCGATGTGGAATGGCTGTAAGGCTGATTGATACTTTGCTGCCATCTTTGCTTGAATCATTGTTGGCCTTGGTGGTTTGTAGCAGTGATTTGACCGGAGGACACGACAAAAGAAGGGCCAGACAAGTTGTGAAGTTCTTTCGCCGAAGATAAGTGAGGGAGCTATAGCCGAGAGATACCCGTAGTGTCGGTGAGATGCTCGAAAATGGGGGGTTTAGTTCAACTTTGGCTGAGGCGGTCGTTGTAGTAACTCAGTGGCTTGTTTTCTGAGGCAAGTTCCGTCGCTCACCAGTACACGGAATAGATTTTCTAGAAGGTAGGAGGGAGGTGAGACGAACAGATAAAAGACCGAGATCAACGGTGATGAACGGTGAAAAGTCAGAGAAATAGACGGAAAGAGATTGTGTTAAATGTAGTACCTTAGGAGGCTGGAGTTGGTATTGCTAGAGTAGAAGTTCTATTGGGGAAGGAATGGCCAGTCGAGGCCGAGGAAGGAGGTCGCTCCGAGATGCAAACATGTGGCAGTTGCGTTTTCCTTCGAAAGTGTTTTTTTTTTTCCTAAAAAGATTGGGAGAAATCTTAGGTTGCAAAAATCCTTCTTATTAAACTCGTCCGAGACTGAGAATAAATTACATATTGCACCTGCCTAAAACCCAATCCGTCTTTTGCCAGCTCCCATGGATTCTTTCCCAATTTGAAACTACTATTCACTTTTACCGGAAGAATCCAGGAAGCAGACACTGAGTACTCGCGAGCAGTTGCTACATGCAGATATTAATGATAACTCCCCGGAGTGCTTCTTTACCAACCAGCTATACTTCAGCCTGACCAACCCAAGAGCACGCCAAGAGAGAAGACAACAAAGTTCTCCCCAACGTCTATTGAAATGTACGCCAGCAATGTGTCAAATCACCGTCATGATTCTCGGCCTTGTACTGCATTATGTACGCGGCTATAGAAGCAGCACAGAGCGCAGCTCGGTATGCTTATAATAACCAACATCATTTGACCTTCCATCCATTGCGTCTGTTCCACAATTAGACCTAGCTTATACTGGATTGAGAGAGTCAGATCAAGTGTTATTATAGAACATGACTAGTTGCCTCGGTTAATCTCTACGCTCTCTTGCTAGCACGTTGATTTAATGATGATAGGGCACTTAAATATTGTAGCCAACTTAGCCCCTAGTTCCTGCCGTCACATTGACATACCACCAATAAAATTTCTATACTTGCAATTCAGGATCGAATCCCCACCCAAGCACTCCGTTGAGGATGAATTACTCAGAAACAATCTTTACTATAGCGGGCGGTATAAAATTAAGTAGCCGCAGCGCAAAAAAAATAATCCCAAGTGGAATCTAACCACTGAATCTCCCCGAGGTGGGCTCGAACCACCAACCTCCAGATTAACAGTCTGACGCGCTAGCCAATTGTGCCATCGGGGATAAGCTCTGAATAGCTGATGGGAACTTGCGGTGGGCCGAGGTTGCTGGGTGACATCAACGTAATGGAGACCAATGGTGAGCGAGTCGCAAACGAACCACAATGCGGGTCCTGTCTTCGTTACAGTTTTGAAACTCATTCCTTCTCATTCTCTTCCTTATAGAATAGCTGTCTCTCCCCAGAAACAAATACCTCTTGACACGACGCTCTTTCTGGCTTCATCGCTGCATATGCCTGATGAAACTTACAGCCGTCCTCTCAACGGTCATGCCTTTGTCACTTCCCTCTGTTTCTCAGGTATTACTCGCCACAACTTTGGGAAGACGTTGCGTTATCTTTCTAGGTATGTATCTGCTGAGTGAAGTCGTCAATGATTGCGGCCTCAATGCAGCCACAAAAACTATGAGCATGACACTACATACAATGCAGAAAATGAGAAGGCACATTACACCAACTGACTAAATTTTCTCATTGAACTATCCTCAGAGAACCTGCAATTTGATGAAGCATTGCTTTGGCTTCCGCGTTAAAGTCTCGACATCCTCATAACTCGACAAGCTTGAAGGACAGGGCAAGAACTCGAAAGTCCACACCATCAAGGTTGTCAGCAACTTTAACTCCATGTACGCCAGCTTGCGGCCGAAGCATCCTCTGAGACCGAGACCGAACGGAATGGTAGGGCCGGCAGCCGCATTGAACACGTCTTCCCCCTTTTCGTTCTTGACCAGCCATCTCTCTGGCCAGAACTTGTCCATGTTCTCATTCTCCCAGGCTCGAAGGCAGCGCTGGTCCGCCGCCGCCTGACATGACGGACTGCGCAGCTTCTCGTTAATATTGAACCCTGGTTCTGTGAAGCTTGGCCCCTTATTGGCTATGAAAACAGTGGTGCCTTTGGGAATGCGATGTCCCAATATGAAGGTGTCTTCTTGGCATTGGCGATCTTGGACTATTGCTGTGTGCGCAAGTCGAAGCATCTCCTCGACAACGGCTTCTAAGTACGGAATGCTTGAACGAGTAATCTCATCGTGAGAAGGGGGCCGAGCCTCGGAAATGGCTGATGTATGCACGCTACGAAGGCTCTCGCGCAGTCTACTTTGGCAGGCTGTATTATCTGTGAGAAATTTGACACCCCAGCAGAGAGTAGTACTTGTTGTGTCGTGTCCAGCGACAATGAAACCGAGTGTCTGATGAATTGGTCAGCAATGTCTTCGATACGATGAGAATAGACTCTACCTCGTCTTTCATCGTCTCACACCAGAATACTGGTTGCCTTTCATCCTTCTTCGCAAAGGTAGCCTCCCTTTGCACCATTAGGTCAATAGCCGACTTGACGTATGCATCGTTACCATCAAGGCCCTGATTCTCGTATCGTTCAACGGCTTTAAGGACCTGGTCCCTCAAAAAGTCGTTTCTAACGCTCCTCATTCTTTTCACACTCGGCTTCAGGCCAACCAACCACCAAGCAAGGTTGGGGAAACCGCTAGCGGCCACACCACCGACGTTCTCGACTGACTCCAATGTCGCTTCGAAGGGTGGATAAATAGGTGCCGTTGGAAAGTCTGCGAAACCTTCTTTGGCGGCGGTCTTGCCAAGTCGACGGAGCTCCTTATCGCTCATTTCTGTGAGCTTCTCAATTTGAGGGATGAGCGCCCTATCTTGAACTGCGTTTCCGAAGCCAAAGTCGAAAACCGCATCCAGGGCGGCGTAGAAGATGTCCTTCTCCGCGCTGAAGGGCTTTTCGGGAGCAATCTCAACCTTGATCTTCCAAAGATCCAAGATACGAGCGGCGCTTTTGTAGATGTTTGGGGCTGCGACGTCGTGAAGAAACTTGGGTGTCATTAGATCTTGCAGCAAGCGTCGATGAGCCTTCCATTCTGTTCCCGTCTTGAGGTTGATGTGGAACGTGGGCGCTTCGCCACCCAGTACGGCGATGCTGAAGTCGGAGCGGTCGAACTCCTTGCGTCTCATGAGAATATCTTGGCCTTCACGGAAGTCCGTTATCAAGACGGAGGGCTTCTGAAACGGCTCAATGAAGAATTGGAAGACGGGGCTTCCGTGCTTCCGTGCTTGGTCGATCATCCATCCAAAGATGTTGTTTTGAGATTCCTTTTGGAGGCGGGGGACATCGCCGAAGAGGGACTTGGTCGCTTCTTCATTATAAGGAACTCCGGGAATCGGTTTGGGAAGAAGGTATTGATAAAGTGCGTAAAGAAAGATTGACAAAGCTGTGACAGCTGAAACCAAGGTGCTCAGATGACCCTGAGAATCCATCACTACGAAGTTTTTCATACCAATGACAATAGCAGCGCTGACTGGATGATGTCAAAATTGAATATGGACACTAGGAATGAAAATCCATCGTCTTTTAAGGGTTTTAATGGTTTGTGGCATTGAAGGCCATTTCACAGATCCGTGTCCGCGGAGGCCGGAAGACCCAGCCGTTGTCTGTGCTGTACCCACGGCGCCGCGGAGCCCGATTCTTCGTACGTACGTAGTTGACGAACAGCAGGCTGTGGGTTTTCTCCGTCTTTTCCGTTGCAGAGTCCGTCGGGAGGTCGGTAGGATATCTCCGTGAGCTTGTGGATGCAGTGATCATCTGCAACATGATTTTGCGCCAAAGCTACCAAAACGGGCAATCATCCTCCCAGTGTAGTCGGACATGGACTCTATGCAAGGTCCGACGGATCAATCAATTCACCATGGATATCTTGGCAAAAAATCGTGAAGTCTGTTCCCGGATGGTTTGCCGCGTTTTTCGAAATTCCATTGTGCTATTTACCCCGAGAGTAAAGAGACGAGGCCAGGGCGGTAAAATGGCCTGTTGAGGGAAAGCTTCTTAGACAGAGAGGAACGGCGTCGGGATCAAGTCGAATTTGGCATCTATTCCAGTAAGTGAGGGCCCGTTGGATATAAAATACATGAATCCCCAACAGTTCAGAGCTCAACTTTGCTTAAAAACAACTCTTTTCCTATACTCTGCAACAATACCTTCGTCCCTTCTCCAGTAACAAAGTCATGACTTCGTTTTCATCCAACAACTTTGCCAATAAGGTGATCGCTGTGACTGGCGCTGCAAGCGGCATCGGTCGTGCTGTCACGGTTTACTTGGCCTCCCGCGGCGCGTCGCTGGCGATTTCTGATATTCAGGCTGATGCTTTGTTACGGCTCACCGAAGAGCTGTCGGCATTAAACCCTGACGTAGTCATAAAAGCTACCGTCGTCGACGTCTCCAAGTCCGATCAAGTCCGAGACTGGATTCAGGGCACCGCCCAGGAATTTGGACGTATCGATGGAGCAGCCAACATTGCTGGGATAGGAGGCTCTAGTCAAACCCGCCTTGAAGAAGAAACTGATGCGGAGTGGCAGGGTGTTCTCGATATCAACCTGTCGGGAACAATGTATTGCATGCGGGAGGAGCTTCGACACATTGTTGATGGAGGATCGATTGTCAACACCTCCAGTGTTCTTGGGCTTCGAAGCTCCCCTTCTCCCGGGGGCTCCGCCTATGTCGCTAGTAAGCATGCCGTCCTTGGGCTGACGAGAAACGCGGCACGGGAGTATGGAGCCAGAAATATCCGTGTCAACTGCATCAATCCGTTCGTGTTTCATTTCCCACAGCTTTAAGCATGTATTCAATGTTAACCACGGAGAAACAGGGGAGCGATTGACACGCCGATGATGCAACCTGCAGAGGGGGAGCAAAGTGCTATTCATGAGGTTATACCACCTATTGCTCGCATGGGTCAGCCAGAGGAAGTAGCAGCGGTGGTTGGGTTTCTACTTGGAAAAGATTCCAGTTACATATCAGGGGCGGCCATTGTTGTGGACGGTGGACTTTGTTGCTAGAAGATTGCGCGAAACGGTGGCGGCTGCGTGTTTCCATCTCGGTAGTGAAGAAAACCAGGCTTATATAGAACGAACCAGACTTTGTTGAGGAAGTTTGAATGTTCTTGTGATTGGGAGTTTTGTATTTGGTTAATTCCATTCCACAAGTGTTTTGGTAGACTGTCGAGCCGCCTTGTCAAAGCCTTTCCCGTCAAGAACCTAAGGAGAATTCGACGAAAAATAGAAGCTACTCGGCAGTGATATCTTTGGATTACTGTGTAGTAACACTTCGTTCTATTGAACTTGCATTACCTTTGTGTGAGCAGCTGCGTAATATATTGACACGGAAAAGTTCCGAGAAGGTAGAGTCAAGGCAAGGTACTCACAACAGGTCAGTAACTCAACTGGTCAAACTCAATAAGCAGCGGCCTTATCTCATAACCAATGCTCCTGTCGCCAGGTCATACGTATCTTCTTTTCTCCCCTCTTGATGCGCCAATGATTCGTCGACTCCAAGACCTGCTCGCACCCCTCGAGAAGGAAACCCCATTTTCTTAAGAATGCCCCAGTTGCCTCCCATCCGTTTACATCCCACGGATTCCTCCCCCACATAAGTAGTGATGGGCTGTGGCTCTCTCCAGAACCGTCGCTCCGTTCGGCACTCTTCATCTCCACCAGGTCGTACCATAACTCATCCTCGTCAAAACGCTGAGTGATGACACAACCGCGGATGACATTATCTCGCAATTGAGGAATGGGAAGGAGATCAATCCAGGGGTGATGCTCATTCTCTAGCTGAAGCTTCGTTGGTTGAAGATTATTGGGGCAAGATACCAGCCCTTGAAAAGAAGGACCCAGAAGTGGGCCAGCTTGACATATTGGCGATATCGCATCGCAAAAAAGCCAAAGGTGAGATAGACCCAGAGCATGCGAGTTCCCAGCCAAAGCGTTAAGGACATTAACATGTATGACGGTCGGGAGATGCTCAAGGCTTGGCGATCGACGGAGAGAACGAAGGTAGGTCTCGTTGGCAAATCGACGAATCGTCTGGGCTAGCCCAGCGGTGATAAAGCTGTCCAAGTCACCATCTTTCTCATCGGATGCGGCCTGACTTCTAATGGAGACAATATCCGCAGCTTGGTCAACCAAGGGCCACTCAGACATTAAGAGAAATTTCTTCCTCCTTCCTGATCTTGTTAACTCAACAACCCCTGTCAATCTTTCGAACATTGAACTTACGAGCAGCTCTTTGATTTAGCCTGTTTTGCAGTTTCCTTCTTTCTAACGTGCTCGTGACGCCAGTCCAGTCTTCTCCCGGTGAGCGAATCTCCTCTCTCTCCCGCATAGGAGCCAGGATAATTGCCTGGCTGAGCTCATTTGACGTTGGTTCCATTCTTGCAGTGGTGACCGTCCCGACCAATGCGTATCAAGACGGAAGCTTGGTTCCAGATATTTATTCATGCGACTGGCTGACAGGCAGACGTTGTCCCTGCCAAACAGACCGTTGACCCATGTAAATCAAGTGTGCAAGATCCCTGTCAGTGTCAGCGAGTTGCATTTGGGGCTGCAGCGGATCAAACCGAACGAATCATGCGTAGAGCGACTTGTTGGAGAAACAGGGATGCTGGTGTCAAAAGCCTAGATCAGACCGGTTGCGTCGTCGACATGTTTGTCTGAAGCCACCATTCATAAACTCCGACTATTAGTTTTGGGCCATCACACGGTGAAATTGTCTATTTTCTCTCTAAGCCAGTGTCTTTGCGACGCGCGCAGTCTACACGTGCTTCTCATTGACCAGAACGTATCTGTATCGTGCTTTACCGTCCTCCATGTCTACCACTGCTTGGTTTGCGTCTGCCATGGATCTCGTCTGGACCCATGGCTTGACGTTTTTTTCCACCGCAAAGTCGAGCATCTCCTGAATTTCGTTGACAGACCCGATGTTGCTGCCACCAACCTTGATATTGTTGATAATCAGGGTGAATGCACTGATATCTGGCAATTTGCCGCCATCGGGTGCCCTGACTGCAGTTAATCACCCACCCAATCGAAGAAACTGTTATGTTTCAGTGACGTTACTTACCCAACTTGAATAAAGGATCCTCCCCACTTTAGAAGGCTCAGATATTGCTGCAGCGGCATGTCTGAATTCGAAACCGTGCAGATGATGAGATCCAGGCTTCGCCGATACTTTCTTGCCCATTTCTCATCGTCAACAGTGGCAATGTACTCATCCGCCCCAAGGGCAAGCGCGTCGCCTTCCTTGGCCCGACGTCTCGAAATGCCCACCACGCGATCCGCACCGAGCGCCTTGGCGAAGAGCACTCCAAAATGGCCCAGCCCGCCGAGCCCGATGATGCCAACGGACTTCCCAGGCCCACACTCGTTATTTTTCAGCGGAGCATATACTGTGATTCCGCCACAAAGCATTGGGGCTGCGGACTCGGAAGACAATCCGTCTGGGATTTTGATGACGAAGCGGCCGTTCGTCCGATTATAATCCCCGTAACCGCCCATGGATTTCCCTTCACCTTGGGGGTAAAATGAGCCGTAAGTGTCAACGCGCTCGCGAACACAGGCGTTTTCTGCACCACGAGAGCAATCCGGGCAGTCGGGTTGCAGGCAACTCCTGGCTTGGGCACCGACGCCAACGCGATCACCGATGCGGATATGCTGGACGTTTGAGCCGACACGAACAGCTTTGCCAACAATCTCGTGACCGACGCAGCACGCTGGAGGGGGTTTTAGAGTGAGATCCCGAGAGGAAAACATGGAGACGCACGGTAGTCGGTCTTGCCCCAACCGGAGCGAAGAGTGTGCAAATCTGATCCACAGATGCCACAGTGAGAAATTTGAATGTCAACATCGTTCTCAGTCCAAATCTTGGGTTCGAACGCTCCCCATTCCATCTTGCCGTTTGCAGCCTCCGGGCTGTGGCCAAGCCAGCCCTCGAACTTGTAATCGGTCGTCATGTTGAGTTGACAAGAGCTCAAAATCCTGGAGTTGGGGGTTGCGATATTCTACCAAGGCTGAAAGCCTTGGAGGATGCGTTAGTTTATGTAGTAACTTGTAGCCGGGGGCTCAACCGATCGTCGAGCCGTTTTAGTTTCCGTGCGGGGTTCCAGTTTCGAGGCATCAATGAGTGTTGGAAACTCCCAACTGCGACTGGCTGACATAGACAGGGGGCTGTGGAGAAGACACCAGACTGTGCCGAGGTTCATTGTAGCAAGTTCATCATGCAATTCATAGTCGGTGAAATATTGGCGAAATATCGATATTCAACGGGATCGGCATGGAGTCCCCATCCAAGCGCATTCGAAAGTTGTTGGAGCGTATTTTTGTGCATTGTGGGTGCAGAGCACACCAGGAAGCAATTCCCAAGAGCCTGGCACCCCGTCGCTGTGGAGTACAACCGGACTGCACTAGGTAACTAGGTACCTAGTAACCTGGAAATGGACCGAAGGAGTACAACGTGACCCCACTATTCTCCAATCATCTCCACTATATATCAACCACAAAATTCGCTATTGGCTCAAAAAAACTAAGAGCTCTTGTTGATTGGACCTTACTCCGCACTCAAAGTACTGCAGTTCACCCAATGTCGCTAGGCCATGGAAGCAAGTTGAAGGACGACTCCACGCAGAGAAATCAACTGGTATCCCTCACTTCTGATACTTACAAAACCTTCTTTCTCCAGAAGAAGCTGTTTGAAGTGAGATTCTGTCTATTGATGGGAAATAGTCTTCGCGACTGTGTCGTATGTATGATCGTCTCATCCGTCTATGTATGGCTACACTTGACAACTTCACAATGCCAGGAATTTGATTCACAACTCCAGATGCTCATGATATGAGTCGTGATCTAGGAGTGATAAACACAACTGTACCTAGAAGTGGTAACCTTCTGGTCGACCCCTCAGAATCAGCAGGGTGGACCCTCGGCCACACCTCGTCGCCTGAAACCTTCCCGTCGGGAAGAAAGCTAGGACATCAGGCTACTTTCCCGAATGGCTCGGCAAAACCAGACTAACGTGATGATAACGCGTGCGTACGCGAGCAGGCCGACTATCCTGACGGCTGTGTTAAAACCAGCCGTTCATGAATCATGGTATTTGTTATCTTTTACGCTTTCCCAGGATGGTCACCCCTTCAGAGTTCACTTCGCGTAGGAATTCATGCCTTAGCCCAAACTCTGCCCCTACTCCCAGCATCAATCACCTATTTTTCTTTTGTTTCGGGATGGATTTACCGCCTCTAAAAGATGGCGCACATCCTGCCAGGTGAGTCTCGGGTGTCTTGTCTTGTGCCTTGGGCCGACTGCCTGATCACCGATTTCGCTCCCGACGACATTCCTCATGGTGACCGGACCGTTCCGTCAATCAACTGCCTTCATCGGTCACTGGACACGACCAAGGCATGTCTTCCATGACCCAGGAGGAAACTGCAGCCTTTAGGGCTGAGAGTCGCGCCGACGAGGTTTATACGGTCCATGTCCTCTTCTTTACCATGTCGATTGTATCGGTCCTAGCCAGGCTTGCTGCGGCAAGGGTTTCAGGGAGGAGATTCACGTGGGATGACGGTTTGGCAATTGCAAGCCTAGTAGGTCTTCTCTGGCTTGTGACAAGTTCAAGATGGTGGCCATTTGCGCCATAGTCGGCGCTATGTTGTTCAGTACGATTCCTAACTATCGCGATAAAGGTTTTCATCATCGGAGTGTTCACCGGCACGATGCTTTGGCTGCGCTTCGGCCTTGGCAGACATGAGGTTGTCGTTCAGGAAGAGGATGCGAACAATATTGTCAACTTCTATAAGACAATATTTGCGAACGAGATCCTTTACCCTTTCGGCCTTGCATGTGCAAGGCTCTCTCTCGTCGTACTCTACCACCGGATTTTCGGACTATTCAACGCCCGCTACTACTTACACGGATTGATGGCCTTCATTGTAGCGTGGGCAATTTACGCCGTAAGTTCACTCTTTGCTTCCGGAGTCATGGCCCGCTTCCGAGACACGCTTCGGTACGCTACAGTTCCATGCAATTCCAATCTAATAAGTTGCTAGACTCTGCCTCTTATCTTGGCCTGCAACCCAGTCTCAAACTTTTGGACGACGCACAAAAATTGCATTGACATATCCAAGTTATACATCAGTATAGCCGTTGGCAGTATCGTTACCGACTTTGTGCTCATCCTTTTACCAATGCCGTACGCTGCGCAGCTACGAATGTCATGGTATAAGAAGATGCTTCTTCTGATTTCGTTCGTCTTCGGCGGTTTGTGAGTTGAACCAAAGCGTTTCCAGAAAAGCGTGGGATCGATCTTAGGCTAACGGAAGTAAATGCGTAGCAACTGTTTCATAACAATCATACGGCTGGTAAAAGTAACAACATTTGACTACAAGGACCCTACCTGGGGAACTGTCGATCTCATGATTTGGACTGGCCTGGAGGCGTACTGGTATGCAACATGCTGCGACGTGCATACACGATCTCAAAGGATTCGTACTGACAAGTTCGAACAGTGCTGTCATATGTTGCTGCCTGCCAACACTACGACCCTTGTTTCACTATCGACGTTCCGGAGAACGATTTGAGAACAATTTTGGCAGAAAAGATAAAAGGTCAGAGCCTAGCACGGAGGGTACTCTTACCATTCAGATCGGTGAGGCGCATGAAATGAATGGCCAGCCGACTAGACCACCACGAGCAGCACATCGTACGCTGGAAGAACAATTCAAGGATTTTGACTTCGGAACGACCACACTCAATGATCTACGAAGATACGGCAGAGCCTCAGATTTGGACGATTAGTGATACCATAGAGAAACGGGTTGGCAAATGATACCACACCGAGGAAGACCGGATTGCGGTTATGACTTAATATAATTGATGAAACTAACGTTTGTCGGGGAGGTAAATAGATTGCCGCTGCAGTCCAATAAGTATACTCCAGTCGTCAAACATTGACCATCCATACATCCGCTCTCTTCAACGGATCCAGTACTGTCCTCGCTGTAACACAAAAGAGTATATGTGTGATGTCTAATTACAGGCTGTGATGATACAGTATCTCGGCCATGAGCATTCTTGGGATACATGTGCTGCGATAGATCTATTTCTCGCCGTTTAGCACAAGGCGTAAGCAAAAATATTGTTTCAGTAGTCGGAAAAGCTCAAGAATATCGACAAACGTAAGTGACAAGCCCAATAGACATACTGAATACAGGCCAATTCACGTCAAACCAGCGCGGTACAATCAATTCACGAATAAGAATGCCCCCAGTGTAATCTTGCATTGCGTGTGTGAATGAGTTGTTGACTGCAATTAGGATGCCTTTTCACAACCACTGATGTTTCCTGTCTGGGAAGCATCATGCAGCCCCAACGAACATACTCGAACCGCTGTGCCGCATTTTAGGCAGAGACGCGCCAGCAAATCAGGAAAACCCAGCGATTAATTTGTGCGCCTTCCTGATGTGCATAAGTCCCGAATGTAAACAGAGAATGGAATTCATCTTGGTGGAGTAGTATCATATAATTGAAATGGGCATCGAACCTAAGGAAACAACATGGAATGTATTGCACAGAATTACCGAGCCGCATCATGTCACGTTGATAGTATTACGCTTTATTTTTCCTCTCCTCCATATTTGTCTAGACTTTTCCCTCGCAATAGGCAGGAACATAGCACAAATACGAGATACGAGACATAATGACCTTACCAGGGGCGGATGCTGCATGATTTCGTTGACCATGCTGATTGGGTGAGTAACCAGCCGAAACACTCCAACACAGGCTCGCACCGGCCTAGCTCTCGTGAACTTCCCCAACACAACCAAAACCCCTGAGCTGCTGCCTGACGCCTTCCCGTCATTGAAAAAGCGAGTGACTCCTGTTTGGTTGAGTGCAATTCTTCATCCATCTTCATTCATCTTCATTCATCTTTATTCATCTTCAATTCTCTTCACCATTTTTCAGAAAAAGTCTGTCATCCTCCAATCATGTTCCCAATTCTCAGGCTCCCTGTGTGTATCATTGAGGATATAGTCAAGTTTCTATGTCCCCATTGTCATCCTGCGCCCTTAGATGAAGGTATTTCTCGCACATACTGCAATGGTGCTTGTCCAGTCTCTACCAGGGAACCCGACCGACGCATCGCACTAGCCAACCTCTGCAGGGCCAGCAAATTGCTGAACTCCATTGCCAGTCCGGTCCTGTATCACGACTTCCACAACAACAAGAACGTCATGGGCTTCGCCAGAACACTCTTCAGGTTCCGACCAGACCTTGCTCAGCACGTTAGGTCCATCCATCTCGGAGAAGGCTACGAGCCCCATATCGAGTCGGCCGACGACATTGCACTATTCAAGGAAGCTGAAGGACAACTTGAACGTTTCCAAAATTCGGAGAGCGAGGAGGCAGGGGACGAAAATGACGAGGACCAAAGAACGCCTACCTACTTAAGCCTAGTTGTTGGCAAGTGCACCAACCTCGAAGCCCTGTGCATCTCAGTCACCTGGTTCGAAGAGACCAATCCTGTGCCTTTCTCTCCTCCTTATTCGCTGCCGAGGTTGACAACTCTGTCTCTCACACATTGGGACACTGAAAATGGCTTCGGACTTGGCGATGCCAAAGATATCTTCATCGCCGCTCCAAACATTACGTCATTGTATGCTTGTGCCTTGGTCGAAGTCGAGCCCGACTTATGGCTCCCAAACGTGACAGAGGTCGATCTCGTCAACAGCGTTCTACAGGCCGATTGTTTCGCACTGCTCTTGGAACAACTGCCTAACCTTGAGAAACTGTGTTATTCAGTTGGCGACGCTTGCGTTTCATACGACACCCCGGCCTTCCCGCGGGAAATACAAGAGGCAATCCTGAGCTACACCCCGAAGTTGAAGTTTCTTCAGCTTTACATGACCGACACAACCCAATTCGAAGATCTCGGGGATGACGACATGTTGGCATCATTAAAGGATTTGGGGAGTTTGGAGGTACTCCGGCTGGACGCGGCATGTATCATCGCCCAGCGCAGCGCGCCGCCTCGGACTTACGTCACTCAGCCCAACGGTCGGGTAGTGGAACAGATGCCGGACAGTGTGGAAGCCTTGTCGGCAGAGCTTTTTGTCCAAATGCTGCCTGCCTCAATTCAAGAGCTTGAGATCGGATCTTCAATAACGGACGTCAAGCTGTTTCTACCAGCGTTCTTGCGGCTGAGTCAGGTGTGCCGGACGGAGTTCCCGCAGCTAAGATACGTCAAGCTTTTGTGTCTGGATAGGAGCGTTGGAAGAGAGCTGGAGGAGCCGTTCGAAGCTAATGGGGTCAAATTCGAAACCAAGAGTACCTACTGACCGAGATACCATCAGAAAGCAAATCGGCCATAAATTTTGAGGAACGAAATCGCTTCAACGGGATGACGAAATGGCCATGTCATCTGAGGTTTACGGAGTCATGCGTGCAACAAATATATTTTCTTATCCTTTACATCGACTGTGATTAAAAGTTCTTGGTTGGCGCATTCCCCTCTGCAGTACCGGTGCCGTACTTTTTGACTTTATTCTTGCTCGCATCCTTGTCCGCGATGAAGACCTCAACTTCCTTGCTGTTCATATACTTGGCAACATTGTCAGCTTGCCATTTTTTGAACGAAAAACCGACACCTCTGGATAATCATGATGGTTAGTAAGAACTAATTGGGGTTAAGATGACTTACTCATGACTATAATCCTTGTCATTCGCCTGATCCTTGTGGTACTTGACTTGAATGAAGTCGCTATCCACAGTCCCCGGATCCAAACTGAGGCTCACCAGCGCGTTGATTCTCGCAGTTTTGGGAAACAGCTTGAAAGTCCAGCTCTGTTCGTTCTTGAACTGGATCAAGTCGCGGTCGTTCTTGATGATTTCATACCCCTCATTCTTGCTCGCATTGAAGAGCTTGGGCAAAGCAAACCACTGACCGGCCATCTTGTAGCGATCATTGGCGTACACGAACTGGTCGTCGTAAACACAATCGGGCGTGTACCGCTTCACCCTCTCCACGGTCGGCTTCATGGAATACAAGGCAATGATGTCATCGATCAATGCCTGCCGGGCCGGTGAAAGCGGGAGTGACTTGGATGGATCCGGGTGCCAGTCCTCCGATGTTGACGTCTGGCGAACCTCGAACTCTTCGCCGGGAGTAGCGGAGGTCTTCTCTGGGAAATTGACGTGAGAAGGCTGCGATGCCATGATGAGTATACTTTGACAGGCTGATAGTGTGGTTCTTGGTCGGGTGGCAGCTTTTTCGTTCACATAGCACAATCTCAATGAAGGTCAGGACCCTGTAATAAAAGCCGGTCCATGATTCTACAGCCAGCACTATATATCTACAACGGACTGTCCGCACGAACTCCCGAAGAAGCCGCAAGATGCAATCATGATTCATGACGCCCTAGACTTTTTGATGAAGGGAGATATGCAGTAAACGCATTCCTTGTGGCGGGACCATGTGGAAAGTGCTTCAAGATTGGCCATTTGCACGCTGTGGCGTTTTCTCACTTATGTAGGTCTGACGTCAACTGAAATCAGATGGTCTAAGCTAAAAGTTGAGACAGTCGCTTGCCGCAACGGGACTTCAACCTATTTCGATGGTCTCACGCGTTGACGTCTTTGCACAATTTAAACAACTTGCATAATCTCTCTCAAAGAATGGTAATATTTCACACTCATGGATCAAATATCAGAGAGTTGATTAATCCCGCGTCGCAACTAAACAATATGGACGTTGCTGTGCAGGGCGAGTATGTCTACGAACGACTAAAGCCTAGAATGGGATAAACAAATCTGAGCGCAGGTGAAAGCTGTTGGTTGATGCTGCCCCGCAACCCTTTCTGTAAGTCTCTCGACCACTCAACCGCACACCGCATTTCAATATCTACTTAGAACGGGGAAAGAAAATAAGAGTCATGTCACATCCGGGGGTTGCTCCGAGTGGACTCCTTCCCCACCGTTTTCGGTCCTATTCGGTTCGGCCGAAATACGTCATTTCCGGGATATTCTCACAGGAACCAATCGAGCCGGATCTTCTCCTCAATAATCACTCTCCGAATGCTACATTGCGCCGGACGACGACCTCAATCCGACCTCTGGGGTAGTGTTTAATTACCCCGCAAACGCGGAGCTAAGTGCCTTTCTCACGGCAAACCTGCCGACTCCGCAGTCCAGCCGAGCCGAGGAGAGGGACTCGCAACAACTAGTTTAACGGTATTAAAGAGGGAAGAGGGGACTCTGAGATGGAGGACGTCTTTCAGTTCCTGTGGAGCAACGCTTCGTTCATCATGCAGTTCCGAACTTCTCACGCCCTGGCCGCGCTTTCGGCGCTGGGAAACCTCGTTATTCAGGATAGCTACGCGTTCCCAAGCAGCGCAATCGTAGAGACGGAGAACGGCGCCGTGAGCGGTTTCGCAGATACGTCAGCGCCTTCGGTCACGCAATTCCTAGGCATTCCGTACGGAGAACCGCCTGTTGGTTCTCAGCGATGGCTTCCTGCGCAGCCCAAGAAGGCATTTGGTAGCTTGAAGGCAACTGCCCGGCGTCCGTCTTGCCCTCAGACCGATCCTCCGACTCTTGGAGGTGCTTGGGCCCCCGAGTTTCTCATCAAGCCGAACACCACTAGTGAAGACTGCCTTTACCTCAATGTCTGGGCTCCTTCAAACTCTCAGCAAGAGAGCAGTGGGCTTCTTCCGGTGGTTGTTTGGATCCATGGCGGAGGTTTCGGTGCGGTGTGTTGCGTTTGTCACTCTCGACAGCGAAGCATGTCACTGACCCAAGATCTAGGGTAGTAACGACATAGCGTACCAAACTCCTACGCAATGGGTCGAGAGAAGCCAGAGGCATATTGTTGTCGGCATCAAGTAAGTCAAACCGAGCTGCGCGAACTTTCAGTAAACCTGACTCTGCAAAGTTATCGCCTCGGTCTCTTCGGCTTCCCCAACGCAGCAGGACTTGACCCAAAAGAACAAAACCTTGGGCTTTTAGACCAGCGCCTAGCGGTTGAGTGGGTTAGAGACAATATTGCTCGATTTGGGGGTGATCCGAAGCGGGTCGTTCTCTGGGGTCAGAGTGCTGGTGCCGCATCTGTTTCATACTACCAGTACGCATATTCTGAAGACCCCGTCGCTATCGGCTTCATCAAGAATTCGGGCTCTCCGTTCATTCCGATTGGGACTGCCGATACAACCCACTCTAGCTTCTCTTCACTTGCGGCCGCGTTTGGATGCCAGGGTGCAGACGAGCTTGACTGTTTGCGAAATGTTCCCTTCCGCGATCTTCAGAAGTACCTCGACCGAGCTGGAAATCTGACTTTCAACGTTGTTGTTGATGAGAGAACCAAGTTCTCAGACTACGCAGAACGAACACTCGATGGCAAGGTCGCTAAGGGGGTGAGGTTTACCTAGTCCCGTTCTATGAAGACGCTTCTAACTTTGAGCAAATAGCCTGCAATCGTCGGCTCAACTCGTGACGAGTGGAACTTCAACTCCAACTCGCCACCTCCTCCAAGCGATGGAAGCGACGTTCATGCCGACAACCTTTTCGGATGTCCTGCTCACTACGAGACTGGTCTGCGAAACATTGCCGGTCTGAAGTCCTATCGCTACATGTACTCAAGCAACTTCAGCAACATCATGCCCGGCGGCCAGGGAGCGTTTCACTCCGCAGAGCTGCCACTCATATTTGGAACTCATGACATCGCTCGCGAGAACTCAACTCAGTTTGAGTACGATGTTAGTCATGAAATGCAGGACTTGTGGCTTGCCTTCGTTCAAGACCCTGTGGATGGACTAACCGACAGCGGCTGGGACGCGACGCCACTGGGAGGGCTCAACACGACCCAAACTGGCATTGACATTGGTTATCTTGAGACTGTTGTTCAGCCTTTCTCGTGGTCATCTTGGCAAACTGCATGCAGCAATGGTACTGCCGTGTAAAGGAGGTCCAATTCAGAATCCAGAATATACATCACTTTCCCATTGACAGCGACTATCTGCAGTACTTGAAGGGTGGAGTTGCAGCCAATCAACAGAAGCCCAATATCTGTGGTTGAGATAAAGTGAATCAAGTTGGAGATTACTGGGCGGACTTGTGATTGCATTAGATGGGGTACCTGCGTCAATGGCAGTTCGTGACCAAGATATTCAAATGATGAGCACGTCCGAAATCCAACGGGAATCAGTTCGTTTGCCATTTTCATGATGCTGCATTGTGTATGAGCCTGTGGTGGGATACGTTGCCCAATCGGGCTCGAGATTCATACACATGATTTGCATCATTCCTTAGCAGGCTGGCCGTTCTTGATGCGTTGCGTTTTTGCTCTGGGATCTCAAGCGGGACGTCTTATTAAGCAGAGCATGTTTGGCAATGCCGACTAACATCGTCTTGGTTTGCCGCCGAGATGGCTTCATTGCTGTTTCACGAGGTGCATCGGCCCTGGGAAAACTGGTCTGGTTGGACCTAGGAGTCCTAATCAGCAATGGAGATGGCACTCGAAGGAGCTGAAGAAGGATATTGAAGGTGGATGAGAAAGGGAGGCTAGATGCAACAAGCATTTGTTGACGAGGCGAGGCGTTGCTTTAGAAATAATAAGGAAAGACCCCAAAAGGAAGGCCAGTATGTCATTGGAATGTAGAAGATGTTGTAAAATAAACCCCAAAAGTAAGAATTAGCATCATGTTTTCCCAGAAGAGCCTTGGCTTGGTCTCGCTTGACGCAACGCCATTACCTCAACGAAATGACGTGATACTATAGTTCACCGAGGTCTTACCGACGCACACCAGTCTCACCGAGAAGGTGTGAAAAGCTCTGTAGAATTTATCTTCGATGGGCCAAAAGTGAGCTTCTAGAATCACCCGCGAACGCAGAATTTTCTCTTTGCACCCAGCGCACCTTAGAAAGCAGCAAATCAGGCTCAACGGGCTGTGGTTTCCGGTCCATTCTCAGACACAGTTGATATCCACCCAACGACACCTTTGCAGCCGGGAGAAGGTTTGAAGTGTCTGCGGTACGAGATTTTCAAAAAGTGTAAAGTAATAAAATGGTGCGCCATTGTCTTTATCGATGCCTTATCGCTGGTATGAGAACTCGGCTGCTTCAGCTACATGTCTTTCGACCCAAAAGATACAACTCCAAGTTCGACAAGAGCGTAGCGGTATGACTGACTGATCACTGAAAGTGAAGAAGCCACATATGAAATGAGGTAACAAAACATTCGATTCAGGAAACAACGGATAGAAACGGAAATTCAAATGAATTGGTAAACTGACATCGCTGCAGACAAAGACACGCATCCGAGAATCACAAGCCAGCTTCAAAACCAGATGAACATGAACAACAAGAAGATACCCGAAACGATCCCAAATTCAAAAGACATCACAAACAACACCACTGAAGCCACACAGCCCCTGAGCCCAGAGGACAAGGCCAGAAAGTGGATTCTTTTTTACGACATCCTCGTGCAACATGTGCCGAAGCACTTACATGTAATGTGCTGCCGAATCATGCTCGATCTTGCTCCCGAGTTTGGCATGGAACCAGAAGTAAATAAGAGTGAAAGCATCACGGAGAGTGAAATGGAGGCGGTGGAGGTAGAAAAGCCAGAAAATCCGGATGACTAGACTACATGTACCTTGAGGAGATCAAGCATGTCATCCCGACTTTTGGCCACCTGAACTTGGGCTGGAATAAACAAGTCCGTAAAGTCTGTTACTCATCCAAATGATCAAGTCCGAATATATACAAGAATTTGAAATCGAAATGACCAGCTGCTGAATTCGCAAAACCATTTGATCATCAGCCCATAACAAAGCCTATCATCGGCATCCCGGTCGTCACTCAACCCTCGTCTATGAGTTGCTCACTCCGTCAACTGAAATCGACCTGGTATCCCCTAAGATCCAAAAAGAGCGGAATCTGATCACACCCCGAAACTCCGAAGCAAGTGCAAAAGCAAAGAAGTAGCTCCTGTACCCGGCCCCCTTTAACCACCGGCCCTTTCGCCCAAGCTTAACGGCCACCCCTCTGCTTGGCAGGCTTGTAGACACGAGGAGCAGGGGTCTTGCCACTGTTGGGACAGGCATCTCCGTGTCGCTGGATGACGATCATGTTGCCCCCCGCGTCAGGAACTTCGTAGCTTGGACAGTTGCACCGGGTACCGGACATCTTCTCTGTGACGGCAGTGGAAGACTTTGCTGAATCACTGGGGCTGTCTGAATTTGTCAGTCAGCTTTCAAAAGACTTTGAGGTAAGCCACTGGACATCTTACATTGAGGTGCGGCGACAAGAACGCTCTTGGATTCGGCTAGAACTTGACAAATCTCGGTATTGTGGAAGAGCAGATTATACCAAACTTGAGCAGAAAGCTGGAGAAGGCTGGAGCCGCCTGCGCAAAGACTAGAATCGATAGGTGGAATCCTTAATGATCCTGTAGGAGCTGATATCGGATCTGTCTAAGACGAGGAGAACCGAATACAACCAAGGAAACGACTCCTTTAAAGAACAAAACCCGTAGACCATCTGAGGCACAGAAACAAAAGAGGCCTGACAACATCTTCATGCCTCGTCCTTTGCCAACAATCCGTAAGGCTACGGCAAGGGCCGCAATCCAATCCAACGGCAAGGCAATTCAAGGGAGTGCCCCTTCGTGCGGCGAAGCAGATGAGCAAACCCCCCAAAGGTCGCGACCACGATAGGCACTCTTGTTGGACAAACCGGAAGTCATTCGCCGCCTTGTTCAAGGAGGTACGGGGGGCCAGCCGGGCCGCGAGGGAGTAGAAAAAAAGGTCTTTTTTTGTTGGGGGCGCGGACAGTTGGAGCCTCCATTGTACACATTCCAAGAAAACAAAAGAGGAAGAAGAAATTGCACTCATTATTCCAAATGGGAGTTACCAGCAGGCCGGTAACACAAATGACTTCATTTCAGGACCACCCAGATGGTACCAACAGCGTGACAGGGTAGGAACCAACAGCACAGCACGTTGTTGTTGGTGGCGCGGGCGTGGGAAGACTTGGCGTATGGCTGGAAAAGGGAACGAGCTGAGCACTGAGAGTCAGGGGTCCTAGGTTGAATGGACTTTGAATGGACGAATCAAGTACTCGAACCAGACTGTTGGTTCTCGTAACAATGGCTGTAAGGGGTGGTCGTTGACGACGGTCGCATTGTTGGTTGGTCACTTGAACTACTCGAGTCTCCCAATGACGCCAATCATCTCGAAGAGAATCCGTCATAACCGGCGCAGCAACTGCTGGAACCGGTTCCAAGCCCTTTCAAGCAATGCCTTCTTACACCTCCAACAACGACGAACATACATAAGAGAAAGAGAAGAAGAAACAGTTTCCTTGTTGTTGATGTCGTTGTCGTGGCCGAGGCCCGTTCATCTCACTCTGACCTTCAGCCCGCAACAAAGTCAACATCGCCCCATTGTAAATAGAACAAAAATGGACTCAACTGACCAACACCATTGCTCCGCAGACCCCAGCAACTGGCAAAAGTGCCCATGAGAGAAGCAAACATGCAATTTTCCAAGCCAAGGGCTTGCCAATTTGGAACAAACTCGTTTCACAGCGGAGAACCAGCACCCAGAACATGGTTTTTTGGAAACAATTGGGATCTCTCAGTCAGACCCGAGACCAGCCTCCCGGCTAACCCATGTCTCTGGTTTTCCTATCACAAAGCAGCGTTGGAGCCAGGGTTGCAGGGCACAAACTCCACAGCCCGACCCTCAAGTTCCCACACACTCGGCTCACCTGCGGCGGGCGGTGATCTCATACAATCGAATCACAACAACCAACACAAAGGAGAACAAGGTATTATTGCTGGTTCGATTTCGCTCTCATATCCTTTCGTCCTGGTCTATATGAGGGTTGATCAGACAGTGACAGTCATTTATCCAACTGCGACCGACAGCATATGCATGCCGCGCTGGCAAACAAGGTGCTCGCTCGGCCCGACACGCTCCAACGGAACAGTTGGAACCAATCACAAGTGAGGGAAAAGGGGGGAGGCTAAGACAATAAACGAGATGAAGGCTTCTGTTTTCGCTCGACCTCGTTCTGATTTGTAAAATCCCCCCTCCTTCTGAGCGTTTTAATCGACCTTCTTCTCTGGGGTGTCCGTCGCGTCTCCGTTCCCGCCGATATGCCCTAGAAAAGTAGAAAACGCTGCGCCGCGGGGCGTTCGGGCGACGCGGGTCGCGACTTCAGACTGCTTTCCACCAATGAATTCCCGCGCCATGCGCCGCTTAAGTATTATCCAGCGGCACAACCAACAGCCGCTCGTTCGCTTGTTGGTGTGACAATGGTTTTGCGTTGCATGAAAGATAACCGTCGAATGCTCTCATCCAGCTGTCGATGCCGCTGCCTTTAACCGGGCGCCAGTGATGGTGACGTCGCTTTCTGGCACTTGCTGGAAATGTGTTGCGACTTGGCTGCTCTCCCTGTGGATATGGCGTGAGGTGCACGAGAATCCAAATCTATTCCCATGGATTATCTATCGTGATGTTCAACTTCATGACATAATAGCTGAGGGCTCTGAAGTCCTGCAACATCTTCACAAAAGTTTGAAAATGGCACCGGTTGACTCAAGGTTGCCCGCCAGGCCCAGCACGTGAAGTATGCCTTGAATCCGATTCCTTATTGTTCATTCCCGGCCGCGCTACGGCGCTTGTTGCTTGCAGTGCCGCCCCATCAAACAGCAGCTGTGGTCCATGTGAAGATCGGCAGTCTGACCCGAATTCCCTTCCCTCAATGCAGGGAAATCCTCCCGTTCATGTTTGCCCAACACCGCCTTACACTGTGGCTGAGCGGATGGAAATAGATGGGGCTGACCATTGCATGTAAGACCTTGGTAGCAGACAGTCGATTGGGTTTCTGGAGATCGTGGGGGCCGAGATAGATGGTGAAGATGTCGGTAGAAGTCGCCGTTGGCGTGCACGTCGCGCCGGCGCCGGGCGACTCAAGCACTGCCCGGTTCCGCCTAATGGGCAGTGGTAGGGCGGAATTCTGCGGACCCCGCGAGATCAAGAGCCGGCCGGGTATCCGGATTGCGCCATGCCAAACTCTCCTGGTCCTGCCCCAGTAACACCATCTCGATCGTTAAAGAATAAAAGATTGCTCGTGCATGCCGTTGCCTTCTTCTTTCACCTACCCGACAAGGCCAGACGCTGCACGGTACAATCCACAACCGTAGGATGATGAGCACAGGGGATCTGCTGTGTTCATGAACGTTTTCCTCCACCACGGTGTATGGTGGCTACTACCGCTGGACGCAACACATGAGGCGTGATCCCCCGCCTGCCTGCCGGAGCCAGGGATTCGTCAGAGATGGTGCTGACCCGGCCCCGGCCCCGGCCCCAAACCGAACGGTGTCTTGACCTTGCGTGTGATTTCTGCTCGCATGCTTGCCTCTGGGACTGTTGACGGCCAGAGGATTCGAACTGTTGGCGGCTCGGAAGTGAAGCCTCAGAGGTTGAGTTGTGATAAAGAAGCTCCATCCTTCATCCTGTCCCTGATTCGGTGCCAGATTCCCTCACGTTGGATGGGAGGGTTGTCGGACTGAACTTCGGACGCCGGCCTCGTTTCTTTTGCCTTGGCCGGGGGGGAAGCTGCAAGGCCGCGCTCGGGGGTTCGTTGGGCGAAGGTTCTCTATTGCTGCACATCGGTCAGCCAAGTCGCAGGCGATGAAGGCCACGGTAACTCACTCCCTGTCCTTGAATCTCCTTCGCTTGATCATCTGCAGCGCTTCTTTGCGCATCCTGCTGTGGAAATGCTCGTTGAAATCCAGCGTGATCAAGTCCCACATGCAGTGACGCTTGGTATGTCGGTAGTGGTCGAGAAGGAAGTAGAGGTACTCTTCCTGCTCCTGACGGCTGGCATTGGCGTTTACGCCGTTGGTCGCGGTGGTACTTGAGCTTGCAGATGGCGCCGGGACGGACCGCTCCGGCGTCTGTATCATCTGAACGTGGGCATGACTCGGTGGCGGGTTGAAGTAGCCTAAGCAGTGAATGCCCATGCGCGCACAGTTCTGACCTGTCCGAGCGCGTCAGTCTTGAGCCCAAGGATGTGCAACGACCGTCAACAGGTCATGCCGAGACGGGCGGAACTTACAGGTCGGACGGCCCTCGTCACACGGCATTTTGCGGACCTGGCAGGTCTTGCAGCCGGGATCCGATTGCTGGACGCGTGGGGGCTGCAGTTGGGGACGGGCGGTCATGACGACATGAGACGGGTTCGGACGCGTCACGAGCATCGGGTCGGGGGTGCCGGATGCGGACAGAATGGGATTCAGCTTTAACGACGTCGACGAAGATGACGGATCCGGTAACGAATGCGGCATCGGCAGCCTGGAAACGGACACATCGTGCATCATGGGCGGCGTGGGCGGCTGAGTTGGACGGGAGGCGGTCCGGCGTGCGGCATCTGCAGCTGCAACCACGTCGTCATCGCACAGCACATTCTGCAGTGCCATGACGGGGCACTGGCCGGGCTTGGGGGCGGGAGGACGGCATGATGTTCTTTCGGAAGCAGTGTGACTTGTGTTGCTGAAATTGCTGGTGGTGGTGGTGGTGAGGTTTGGATGCGACGGCGTCGGTGAGGGTGATGGTGGGAACCTGATGGCGTCGGGAAGGCGAGTGTTGGCGGCGGGCGGCGGCGGAGGTGGCGGCGGGGCCGGGGCCAGGCGGCGGTGAGTAGAAAGACGCGGTTCGATGCTGGCGTTGATGATGGCGTTGTTGGCGTTGACATTGGTACTGTCGGTGCTGTTTGGGTTGGTTCTTGTCGCGGACGACGACGACGACGACGATGATGAGGAGGATGACGATGATGATGATGATGAGTAAGACAAATAAGGTTCGGATCCGTCGGAGGCGGCGTCGTTGAGGGCCGAAGTAGCAGAAGCAGAAGCAGGAGCAGATGCAGATGCAGATGCAGATGCAGGAACTGATGCCGTGACAGCGACAGCAGCAGCCGGCCGGCTATCCGCTGCTACGGAGACTGCGACGGCGTTGGAGGCGGCGACGGGAGCAACGGGCATCCGCATCATGTCTCACTTTGTTGCGCTACGGAACGACGGGACGCTCCGAGGGAGAGGTCTGAGAGACGAGCCCGAGACGAGACACACGCAGCTCACGTCAATTCACGGCCAACACGCGCGCAGCGCAGCGCAGCGCAGCGCAGCGCAGCGTAGGTAGAGGCGGTAGACCTCAGTCCACGCCTGACGCAACAGCAGCAGCTGGAGACAGCACGTACGTAGCGGCGACGCGAGTAAGGTAAGGGGGACCACGGGTAGAGCGGAGTAGAAGGACGGGAGGGGGGGGGCGGACGAGGAAGGGAAGGGAAGGGACGACGAGATGAAGGGAGGGAGGGATACAGTAAGGTAGGACGGACGGACGGGACTTGAGATTTGGTAAGGGAAGGGAAAGGAAGGGATACGATGGGATGGGATGATGGGATGGTATCGACAAGATCCGATGGAATGACACGTGGAGAGCGACGTCGATGCTGGGAATGTTGAAGTATTCCCGTGCGGTACGGATAGGAACCTGGTGCCTGAGTTGGAGATGGGTACTCCAACGTCGAAAAGAAGGGTAGGTAAATTAAAGTAAGGTACCTCGACCCCTGGACGTTGTTGGCGTTGGTGTTGGTGCTGGTGTTGGCGCTGGTGTTGGTTTCGGTGTTGGTATTGGCGTTGGCCGTTGGCCGTTGGTGTTGGGGCTGTTTGGGAGTACAATATCGATCGTGAACCAGGCGCGGGCGGCAGAAATGCAAAAAAGAATCAACTGCAAACAGAACCAACAGAACCAACAGCAAAAAAAAAAAAAAGGAACAAACAGGGATGAGGGGGGAGGAGGAGAAGAAGGGAGGGAGGAACAAACGCGGCGAGGTACGGAAGAGGGAAAGAAAAAAAAAAAGGGGGACGAGCAAAAGCGAAAGTAACAAAGGTAAAGAGAGACAGCGGGAACGACAGAACAGGCGCAGGCGCAGACGCGGACGCGGGCGCGACCGCGGGCGGGGGATGAGACTGAGAGAGCACATCGAACCTTGGAAATGGACCTGCCCTGCCTGGACCTGAGGCCATGACATGACACCTGCCCCATTCATAGTCGACCCAAATGCCACGATACGTATCTGTCAGTCTCGTCCCCTTCTTTCCCGTCGTTTTCATTCGTCGGATAAAAAAAGAGACGAGTGCACGTGTCATAAAGAGATCCGACCACGATCATCTGGTGGATACGTAAGCGAGCTGTCACTCCGCTCTGCTTCAGTACGCCCTTCCATTGGCTGTTTTCTAATTGACCCGCCGTTCAAAAGCGCCGGTGCCTGATTGGCTTCAGCGCGGTACACTGGCTCCACGTCGTCACACTCAGTGTCCACGCCTGCACGTGGACGCGTTGGTGTTGGTTCTGGCCAACCAACACCCGCCAGCCAATCAATCATGGCACAGACGTTGCCCCTTCCAGCGGGTCTCATTCTCATTCACCGCCATCTCACTTGCTCCACATCACTCACTCCACGTCTCATGGAATAGAAGTCGCTCACTCTCATCACTCACTGATCTCATTTGACGTCCTTATGAGATGACCATCAAGGTGTCGCCCAACCTGAGGAATCCTTCTTAATGGCTCATAGCAGCACAGAAAGGCTCATGTACGGTATTTCACTGGTGCTTGCTGGGCTACCTTAGGTACCTACCTATTGAACCAGCTTTCATTGCCTGCGCCTAGTTCGTTCATCTTCTGCAACATCTCACTCATTCGTTGCAAATTGTGAGTTGTATTCCTACTCATCTTTTTCCGGCCGAAAGCTGCTCAGTCATGAGCCGTCTTCCTTCACTCACTCAGCGACACATCGCGTTGCCGATTCATACATGAGAATGTAGGCATCGCTAACTCTGAGAGTGCCAGAACTTCTACGAGAATGAGCGATTAGCCTGGCGCCCAGAAGGCGAATTAGCTTTGCGGGTAACGCCTTCGCAACACATGGCATGTGCTAGGTACACCATCGACATGTCCCAACTGCTCCTCTGTACTCACCCATGCTGTGTTCGACAAGAACCACTTGCCAATCAGCGGACTTACATGACTGATAGTTGATCTGCCCTGTTGTTGAGATTCCATCTCGGCACAGTCCGCGACCCCATTAGGATTTGTTACAGTTGTATCCCCACAGCTTGGCTGACCTTGTCTTGGGGCTGCTCCGTGTGGGGCCGGGCATCTCCCGTCTAGACGCCGGTACACTTTTGAGGGACTACTCCGTGTGATCATCCGTCGATGTTCAGGAAATAACTCGTCGTCACCGTCTGCTATCCATGCGCGGGCACTAACGACGAGTTTCGAGGACAACTTCCGTCATGTCAGTATCTAGCCGAGAACATCTGTCGGTCTACATCGACGTTTTGCCAGCTTGACGTCAGATATTCTCCCTTCAACTCCATGGTCGTTGGCAGCAGCGACACCAGACATCATTCACTTTGGGTATTGAACATCTGTCTTCAGCTATGTCGGCCGTATACATGTGACGCCACGCTACTCCACCCACCTGTGGGATACACCGACAGGCAAGTCTCTTTCTGAGCACTGTTGAAATGACACCTTCTGCTTCAGGGAGCTTGTCTGTACGTCCATTGGATCTTATTGCCATGCTATGCGTTCATCTTCATCAACACGCCGCGTGTGTGTGTTCGATCATCGGATTCTTTGGAGCTTCTGATCATCTGATACAAGTGCTAACTCACGCCCAGCTTGAGACTTGGGTACTGGATACAGCTTCTCGTGACTACTTACCTGTACCCATCGCCATCTCTCTCCACCGAGTCTCTGAGCCTCACTTCATAAAGGGAATGAAAGCCGTATTGCCCGCCACAGGCGAACCATCTTCAGCACCCCAAGCTACCACGGTTCTCAATTACAACATCTATCTACATTACCTGCATATTCCCCGATATCATCGATTGTCTGAAAGAGTTCGCCATGAAATTTTCTCTCGCCATTGCCCTCAGCGCCATCGCCACGCTGGCCGCTGCCCAAAACTGCTGGGAGATTGAGTTCGGTTGGACCCCGGGCTGTGGTCGCGGCCACTGCCAGGTCGTGGGCACCTCGTGTACTTGTGAGGGTTGCGACTTCGAGCGCTTCACTACGAATAATATGGCCAGCTGCTCCTGAGCACATATTCGTGGGACACTACATGAGGTACAACCTAGCGTAAGCCAAACCCGGTTTCAACGTCCACATGAGCTAACCTTTCGAGTCCAGTAGGGAACCTTCCGTGCCACTGTGAAGTCAAGCTCTCTCCATGTTTTCTGAAATGTCCAAAAAGAGATGTATTCCCATCCCGTAAGATCACTTGCAGATACGTACTTTCCACAGTCTCCTTAGCTGGCAACATTTGCCGAGTTCGATGCTTCTCCCTTCACCACTGTTGTTGCAGATTATTCCGGAGTTCAACGACATCTGTGTACACACGTGGAAACTGCACGATTTGACAAAAGTAAAAGTGGTAAATCCACAAGAGACATCAAGTTTCTGTCTAGTCTAACATTCGCAAACCACGGCCATCATTGCATCTCTCTCAAATCACTCTCACTTACCAAGAGCCCCGACGTAACGCCCCATAGCAGTTGCGTAAGCGTTGCACATGAGTGCGTGAGGAGCGCCAGTGCAAAAATCCGAGAAGTAGTGCGCTCCATTCCACCTCGTAATCTCGTTCACAAAGAGCGTGCCGCCCACCTCATTGACTGAGATGTCGAGTCGGCAGCCTACCTCCAGGGACTCAAATCGCCCGAACCAGCCAAACTCAGGGTCTCGGAGGGCTTCAAACACGCCGAGGGCGAAATTATGGACTGCATCTTTTGTCGTTCCCAGGCTCGCATAAGTACCTTCCATGGCCTCAGTTGCGACGATGTCGTCCTTCTCCTCGCTGATGGTGTGGCAGACACGTAGTACCTCCCCCAGCAGACCTCGAGCCCCCCTTGGATCTGGCCGGGTGGCGATGAAAACGCGCAGTTCCTCGCTTGCTAGCGGTTTGACATACTCCTGATGGAACCAAACCTCCTCGCGATCCTCGTCGATATCTGCAACCATCGTCTGCTTGTTCTTCACGCAAACTTTCTGGCGCCTGGACTGACCACAAGTGAGTTTCGAAGAGTGCGTCCCGTCGGTTATCGTGTGAACTGAAGCGCAACTCCATGCTCTCTTGACGATGTCTTTGGTGCCAACCAGCGTACACTCGCCGACGCCAAAACAAGTGACAGGACGCCACGTGTTTTGAGCCTCAGCAATCGTGTCCAGGGCGTGAATGTCCTGTACTTTGTATTCCGATGCAGTCCTTTCCTCTCTGCTCGGATAGACTATCGTGCGTCCGGAATTGATCACTCGCAAATATTCTTCGATTTTGTCGTACTGCTCGGTTATCGATGATTTGTATGGAAATCCGGTGTCCATGAGGATTATCACAAGCAGGTCTCTGGTTGGGTCCAACTCGAACTCTCTGTGCAAATCCCGATACTCGAGATGCTTTCTGACCTGATCCCAACCTCGGATGGCGCCGTGCTCTTCTTTCTCGTCGGATGCTGTCGCAATAAGGCTCGTCAAAAGAGACTGGTGAGTATCTTGGGTTGGGTTGCTGGTCTTGAGGAATCCCGGGAAAGACCTCTGCAACTCCTTCCACCTGGCGGCTTTCGGAATCCATGGATTGTGTTTGGCGGAGGCTAGCTGAAGGGAGATGCTGACATTGCAAAAACTGCGATCCGGTTTGTATCTATGAACAACCTCGCCCGAATCATCCGTGTCTTCATTCAAGCACCAAAGCGTGAATTGGCGAGGCTGGTCTGGGATTGTATGGGCCACCTCCTCACGAGGTCGGCTGCGCGCAGCTCTCGAGCGAGTTCGGCGTGGCTCCATGGAGGCATCATGGGCACCATCAGCCACGTGGTGAAAACCCTCCTGTTGATCCTGAGAAATCCGAGACACGACGTCTGGGCGAGGGGGCCTGCTGTTTTCCGGTGGAGGGAACACCGAATAAGTTCCGATGCAGTGGTTTGGCTTCGTTTTCTGGTGTAGATGTTTCGTGAACACCCCTTTGCAGTCGTGACAGTAACAATGTCGAACTGCCAAATGACGACGAACTTTGTTCGGGGCCCGATCGAGAGATTGGCCACATATGCAACGTTTCGATCCTTCTGTAGAAGACATAGCTTACACGAGGATTTGAAGCTCTTCTTCTGCGTTGGTGATTCAGGCTGGGTGAATATGTCGTTATTTGAGCGTTTGTATTCAAGATTTACGTCCAGTTCGAAAGACAGACCGCTGACGGGGAACATTGTCATTATGTAGTGTTCTGAATACCTATTCTGCGTTACTACTCAGGATATACCCTAAGAGCGGCAATTGCATCCCTTTCATTGACAGCATCCCTGAGCTGAAAGCAAAAAGCCAGTCTGCACAATTCATCGAAAAGGACTGTTTATCAATGATGGATTATATTTGTGTCAAATATGACAAAGTCGATCCATCGCATTCTGACCAAGACGTTCATTGAGCAGCCAACAATGAAGCAATAGAACAAGGTAAACCTTTGTCGCGAGAATAGTCCTTGTTTACCTCATAAACCAGGAGGAAGACAACGGACTCTCAAACCCCAGTTGATCAAAATAGCAAAAATTGGGCACTCCGCGCTTCAAACGACTCAATTGCAGATCGCTGTCTTCCGAAGTTGTTGTGCATATCTATGCGATGGTATGGAGAGTTTTATGTAGCTCTGATACGGCACGCACTTGGGAAAAGCGCAAAGCAGTTTGGGGTTGCCCAGAAATCATGGAGAGAATTGAGTATAATCCCGTTGGATAGTTTGGGCTACTCAAGAGTTCTATTAACCTTCTTGAAATTGGAACATATCAAGAAACACAAATGCTTCTAAAAATTTAGATTATAGTGGCAACAGCAGTGTGGTTGATGTTTGCAGATTTTTATTGCAATGGTCGTGTGAGATATCTAAACCTATGCTACTATGCGGTTCAGGTGCGGCTGGATCACTCGCCGCTCTAAGTTATAAGAGTCTAGGTGAGCAGAGTGAGTGGGGTAAGTTAGGCAGTCTCTATTAATAATATCTAGCATTTAGCTAGAAGAAAGGGGTATTAATCTTATATATAGTAGAATAATATAATAAGCTTATATATCTATTCTAAAAGCCTATATAGGGGATAAATAGCCCCTTTATATAGATAATATATAGTAGTTACTTATATATAATATATTTATACCCTTATAGTTATTAATCTTATATTTAGCTCTATATTATATATCTAAATAGTTATAATATATACCTATATTAATTATACTCTATATATATTATTATACTTTATTACTAAGTAATAATATATTTAGTTATAGTATAATATATATTAAAGTGTAAAAGGTATATTAGTTATAGTTAATTTATTTAATTATATATAGTTTAGGTTAGATATAAGAGAAATTTCTAAGTCTTAATTATTTAAAATATAAAATAGGGAAAAATAATAAATAAAGAGAATAGTTTATATAGTAGGGCTCTCTTAACTATTAGAATTAACCTTTTAAGTAGCTTTAATTTAATATAAAAAAGAAGTTATACTATATAGTACTATATTAGTATTAGTTCTAACCTATTAGCTACTAAATTTTATAGTCTTTATTTATATTTATTCTAAAACTAATTTACTAAAAGATTATCTATATAGTATAATAGAGGTAATATATTAGAATTATATAGTTTAATATCTATTATTTAGTTTTAAGCTATTATAAATAGATTAAAGTAACTAACTATATTATAAATAAAAGCTTTAGTTATAATAACTCTATTATTATTACTTCCTATTCTATATTATATAGGTATATAACTATAGTAACTAATTATAATAGATATAATATAAGCCTTTCCTTTTAAGCTATATAAAACTAATACTATTATATATTAATATATTAACTTTAACTAATTTTTATTTATATTATAATTCTATAATAATATAACTTATATTATTATTAAGACCTTTAGACTTACTAACTATATATATATATTAATTTTAAGTTTATTTACTTTAATCTAAGCCCCTTAAATTGCTTTATTATTAATAATATTAGAATTTAGACTTATTTTAATCTTTTTTATATTTTCTAGCTTTATTAATATTAACCCTTATTTATAGTATTTTAATCTTTTATTAAGTAATAATTAATAAATATATTTACTTATTAATACTCTTTTATTATTAGTTTCTAAAAAGTAAATATTATATATCTAAATTATAATCTAACTTAACTATTAAAGAAATAAAATAAATATTTATATTTATTATACTTTTTATATATTAGCTAAGAGACTATTAATATATCTACTTTTTACTATTTACTTATTTTACTATTAGAAAGCTTTAAATAAGCTTAATTAGCTAGTTTAATATAGGTTAATATATTCTTAAATAGTAGAGAGCTTAAAAAGAGTCTAGCTATACTAATAGACTATAGAGTAATTTATTTCTAGCTATTAATAATATACTTATTTCTTAAGCCTACTTTATATATATGTTATTATATATAGTAAAACTTTTCTTATTTATAACTATATTAATATTCTATTTAATTAATTAGTATTTATACTTCTTCTTATATATTACTTTAAGAGAGCTAAAAATAGACTAATCTAAAAGCTAGAAAGTATAAAGTATATATTAATAAGAATAATAAGTATAATATAGTTTATAAGTAAGCTAGATAGATTAATAAGATATTATTAGTATACCTTAAGAATCTTTTACTAAACTTTAATATATATTACCCTAACACCCTATTAAGGTATTTAGCCTATTTATCTATCTAGCTTACTTATTAACTACTTTATTTTATTTTTTAAATATAAATATATAAAGTAAGTAGTTTTATAGCTATTATAGTTATTAAAAATTAATAATTTAACCGCTAAGAGTTTCTCTACTTATATTAAAAGAATAAAGATCTTAATTAATAATTTATATAGTATAATATTTAGAGAGTAATAATACTATTAAAGACTTTTACTTTTATAAATATAAAGTAGAGATAGTATTATATTAGTTAAAGATATATATTTTATAAGAATAGGTATATAAGTAGCTAGAGGGGCTTAAAAGGCTTCTATATAATATAATATAATAGGTTAATATATATTATAATAGAATTTAATAAATTTAAGTATAGAGAAGTATAGATTTTAATAGAATATTATATAGTAGATAATATAGGAATATATAGAAGTATTATTATATTCTATAAGTTTTAAATCTAACCTAAGAGGAGGAGAAGTAAGGAGAAGAAGAATTCTAAAACGCTTTATTATATATAGGTAATATAACTATATATAGACTAATATTATATAATATATCTTAGTATTATAGAGCTTCTTTTATAGAATATTATTATATAAGAATTAAATAGAGATATTATTATTATTACTATTTCTTCTTTTTATTATTATATATTTAACTAGAAATACTTAGATATATAATTAAATTTAGTTTTTATAAATAAAATAAGTTTTAATAATTTAAAATAAAAGTATTAATTTTCTACTTTTTAAAAATATTAATTTATTTATATTATATTAATTATAAGCTTTAATAGATTAAACTATAAAGATAATAAGAATTTTAAATTATCACTTTATAATATAAATTAAAACTTTATAAATATATTAAAAACTAACTGCTTTATTTATTTAGACTTTTATAAATAGCTTCTTTTTAATAAAATCCTAAATCTAATTCTTTTTAAGAAACTTAAAGTCTCTTTAGATCTAGATAATATATTTTATAAATTTCTTTAGTTATTAATATATTAATATAAAGTTTAAAGTAGCTTAAATTTAAATATATTTAGCTAAATAGTCTTTTTAAGTTAAAAAAAGCTTCTATTAATTATTAAATATATTATCTCTTAATTAAGCTCCTTAACTTTAATATTAAATTATTAATCTTTATATATTTTATTTAAAAGTTATATTCCTAAGACTTTATTTTTAGCTATAGCTTAAAGAAGTTAATTAATATTAGCTTATAAGAAAGTAAAAAGTATATAACTAAAAAGCTAAAGATATTATAAAAGTACTAATAGAGATATTTATAATTATTATTAGAGAGCTATTAGAGAGTAAAAACAATAGTAATATATTTTAAGAGGGCTTAAAAGTAGGTAATAAATATTAATATATTATAAAAATTAAATATTAAGATAAATAGTTTAAGATAATAAGCTTATATAATTAATATTGAAGATAGGTCTATCTAGCTATTATAATATATTATAGGGGCATTTTAATAAAACTAACTATCTATTTAAGGTATATTAATAGTATCTTAAAAGAAACTAAAAGGTTATTAGCTATTAACTAGTTATAAAGAGCTATATACTCCTCTATCTTTACTTATTAAGCTAAATGCTTATTATACTCCTTTAAGAGCTTATCCTATAGCTTTATAATCTTATTCTAAAGCTACTAGTAATTCTTAGCTATAGCCTCTATCTACTTTAGGTTATTTTTAATAACTACTTAAAGAGAGTTAGAGATAGTAATAAAACCCTTATATAGATCTTAGATATATACTATAAGTAAATTATAATAGGTTTAGTTCTACTAAAGTATTAGCTATTAGGGAGCTAGAGTAAAAGGTAACTAGGGAGTATTAACTTTATATAAGAACTACTAGAGGAATATAGAAGTAGATATTTTACTTAGGGAGATATAAAAGTAGGGTAAGTATTACTAATAGTACTTTATATTATAATAGTTATAGTGGGAAATTTATAATATATAGTAAAGATTAATAATTAGATTATAATAGGGAAAAAAAGTAACTATTTAGTAATTAAGATAATAGTAGGTATTAGTA